TAACTCCCTCAGGCAATTCATTATTTTTTTAGATTGTTAGCTTGGCCCTACAACTTAGATTCTTCGACATCCGCCCCAGTACACCAACTTTGTTTGCTATTTTATTTGTTATTTTTTTATATGTACTTAAAGTAAAGTGTTCAGAGAATGTTAAATTATCATCGATTATGCAACCCAAATACTTGAAATTCTGCATAGCTTCATTGTTAATTTTTGCATTTAAGTTCTTTGGTAATTTTATATTACAATTTTTATTTTTTATAATCATCGTCTTGTATTCAACTGTAGATAATTGTTATTCAGCCATTCAAACAAACCACTCAGCTCCACATTTAAAATTTGTATTATTTCCTTAACTGTGTCACCAAGTACATATTATAATGGTGTCGTCTGCAAATAGTAGGATTTTGCATTTTTGAATATTTTTCACAATGTCATTATAAATATAAAAAAATATATAAAAACATCATAATGGGTGGTATGGATAAAAACGAAGTACTTGCTACTACTACAAGTATTAGTATGTTCTACGTAGTATTTACTTCAAAACGAAGTAGATACTACATTTCAGTAGTTTCGAAATGTAGTATCTACTTCGTTTTTAAGTAAATACTACGTAGAACATACTAATACTTCTAGCAGTAGCAAGTACATACTTCGTTTTTATTCATATCACCCATTGTCATTATAAAAAGAGTTGGGCCCAATACTGCTCCTTGCGGTACACCATAAACTATTTTTTTGGCGGTTGATAGACCATCAATCGTACTTAGTCACCTAATTTCGAACTTATTCCTCCAATTCCAGACTTTTTCAATGCAGCTTTCCAGTTGAAAAGAACAGTTTGCAGCGCACCCTCACAAGAATTTTTCCTTCTGAATCCAGCTTGGTTATCACTAAGTATGCGATGTGTCTCAATGTAGTCCACCAGTAGATCATTGACGCTCATTTCTAATAACTACTCATACCGTGGAAATACGTTTATAGATCTGAACACTTCACACCAAGGTTCACACTTTATTGTCCCACTTTTCTTTTCAATAGGGATCACTGTAGTTAATTTCCATTTTTTGGAAAATATACCCAAGTCCTAACTTTTATTTACCAACTTACTAAAACTTATCTCCAATCACTTGAAAAGCTGCCTTCAAGACTTTCACTGTTATACCATTCTTTGTTTTCCATTCGATTCACCAATTTTCATAGCTCCGCCATTTCTATTTTGTGAAACTTATCCATTCTACTGTGGCTGGTTATATGCTGCGTATATAACTAGTGCTATAGTGACTAGTCTATAATAACTGGAACATCATGGGGTTTGTGGTGTCTATTTGCGGCATCACCCATATGTTCAAGTAGCTTAACTGAAGGATGTTTTATATTCATATCATTTTCAAATCTAGAATATGTGCACAAGTTCCAACGGCTTTTGCTCCTGATTAGCAGGTGCAGTAATATCCAGTTATTTCATGGGCATATTCGATCCAGATCTGATGTTTACCGTGGTTGCGAAATTTTGACCATATTCTTAATCGAATAGTGTTGGCAAGCTGATTTGCCACATCAATTTGCAAATCGTCATTCCGTTCTCGTCGTGTCGTATCTTGGATATATGATGGCGCTTGCTTTAACTGGTACGTTCCAGCTGTAAGGTCCCTGAGATATTCTAGAGTTAGACGTTGGAAACCAGGAATATGATTATTCTCTAAACTGACATACATTATCTACCATACCTCCGAAGTAAATTCTCGTTTTCAACGGTAGCTTTTAACCTGTTTTCTTCTCTTGCTCTTTGTAATAAAATTTCAATCTCGGGTAATATCAGCTCCTCTCATAACAACTGGATCGTGATATTTATTCTTTATTGTTCTCAAAAATGCCAATAATAAATCTTTTTTTGACATATGTCTGGATACAACAACGCCAAAATAAGTAAAAAGGTGTTGAAACTGCTGCTTATCAACTGGTGACATTGATTTAAACTCTTTATCGCTGAAACTATTTCCACTATGAAATTTCCACCTTTTATAATTACTAGCGGTTCTCAGTTCTTGCAAAAATGAGTACAGCTCTGGACAGTGGACCTTATCTTGTATGGCCTGTTAATGAATTCCAAACTTTCCAATAAAGGACGCAGGATACATTCATTTTCATTCAAGTGTTGAAAGCACTTTCAGGCGCATAAAAATATTTACTCTACATATAAGTGATAATCTTTGTACAGGGTGTCCGAATTTGGATGGTTTTGATATCGAAATTTGATCAATATCTCGAAATCGGGGCCAAATAGAAAAAACTGAGAACGTCACTGAATTCTGCGTAAAAAATGCTTCTATGATGTTTTTACAGAAATAAATTATTTTCAGAAACAAGAAATTACAAAGGTTTCACAGTTTTGCACAAAAACGAGAATCGCCCTCTAACGGCTAAACGGTTGAAGATATCAAAAGGCGGTTTGCACCAATCAAGATTTCATGAAATTTGAGCCTTGGAGTGGGGATGTGCGAAATTAAAACTGGAAAATCCACAGATTGCTGATAGAATGGTAATCAATGAAAGATTTTAAATTGAAATATATCGAAACTGAAAAGGATATTTTTTAACCTTACCTGGCATTACTTCCAAACTCCACTCAGCTGGCCAGCTCTTTCAGAAAGTTTAAGTCCAATACGAAGGACTACAAACGAAACCGTCTTGATTTAACCGGTCGCGGCAAACGTAAAACCGCAAGTCTATTTTCTCGAACCACACGAAACGGATGGAGGGTTTTTAGACATAAAACGCGCAATTCAATTAGAATAAGAAAAACAAAAAATAAAGAAGAAAAAAAAACGAATCAATTTCCATTCTCAAATAGGATTTGACATCCTAAATACCCAATTTAACCTAAAACTATATACAGGGCGCGTAGACGAAACTGAACAGGGGGGGTTCATTTTTTTGTATCTTGCTCAGAAATTGACGTTTCCTATTAAAACCGTCCAAATTCGGACCCCCTGTACATTATTGGGATTATCACATATTAAACATGTAACGTTGGATGCTTGTTTTAAAACGCTTAGAAGCAAACAAGGAGGCTCATTGGCTAATATATGAAATTCTTCGAGTATTGAGCGGTTGCAATTTATACAGAAGCAACTTGCATCATTTATGGGTATTGGTGACAAACCAGAAGTTTCTGCTGAGATATTATTATAGTAAGTATGTATAATACCTTTCTATTACGAATTTCACGAAAACAAGTTATGCTTCATAAAAATTTCTGCATGGACTAAAACACAAAATGCAACAACCATCAAATATGAATTTTTTCCAGTTGTATACAAAGATTGTCCAAAAATATTTATTTTTGGCTAAAATACTTAAAATTCATATTTTTGAAGTTTCCGGTTTAGTTTTGCGATAGTTAGTTTAAATTTTAAATAATCAAACAACTTATATAATATACAAGGTGATTTTAAAATGGCAAAAAAGAGTTCTCCACTTTGTTGTTAAGCCGCCCTTCAAGAAACCCCAGAAAAATATTTTAAAAAATATACAGTTATTCTCAAAGACGTTATTAGAAGAAAACGGAGTAGAGAGTGGCAAAACTGGCAACATCTCAATAAATACTATACACCTATATTTACTTATCCATTATTATTGTATGTATTACCTAAAACCGGTACTACTTAATAATTACCTTTCAGGTAATCGTAATACGATGCGGGACTTATTTTTTTTTTTTGAATTGCTCGCGCGCTTTTTTTTCCTTGTAGCGGCGAAACCATCCGATCGCCCCCCCCCCACCCCTATTTTTTTTTGAAAATCAAACAAGAGGGTTAGAGGTACAACACATCAAAAATTCAAGGAATTTCACCAAAACCACTTTTCAATGTAATTTGTGCGTGGTCCTTTTGTAAAAACGACATTTAGGGACGTTTTATTTATTTTTTCAAAGATGTGTTTAGATTGACATTTTTCAAATATATAAAAAAAAGATTGAGATTTAGGGGAAAAATAAAAACCTACTTTGGCTTGCGCATCATAATGAAATTCAAAATCAAAAGACTTTGATTTTTGAAGCATCATAGCTGCAAAATTATTGAAGCTGTAGTGAAACTATTCAGCAAAGATTTGAAGAGAATTTAATTGGCCTTAAATAAAACCTAATTACGTTAAGCTCGGATTGAAATCAACAAAGTTATGAGGCAAAATATGAGTGGATATCATTTCGGAAAAAAATAAAATTGCCAAAAAATTACATGAAGGACCTTTTATATTTTTTTCAGGAAAATGTTTGAGTAACTGCATTGAAATTTTGCAAAAAAAAAAACATTTTGCACAAAAATCTGCACGAAAAAGTCTTTGAAGATCCGCAACTGCAAAACTATTAAAGCAAAGCAGCATTCAAATTATTCAAACTATTCACTAGAGATTTGATTGAAGCCTAATAACGTCGAGATCGGCTTGAAATTAACAAAGTAATGATGATTTCATTTTGGAAAAAATCCAATTTCCAAAAAACGACACTGAGGGAAGTTTTATTTATTTTTTAAAAATCTTCTTTGGCTTGCTCATCTTGATGAAATTCAAAATCAAAAAACGTTGAAGGTTGAAGTTTTATAGCTGCAAAGCTATTAAAGTGCAATGTAACTTTTAGTTAGAGATTTGTAGAGAATTTAATTGGCCCTAATTAAAGTCTAATTACGTTAAGATCGGATTCAAATTAACAAAGTTGTGAGGCAAAATGTGCGTTGATGTCATTTGGAAAAAAAACTAATTTCTAGAAAAAAAAAGATTAAGGAACTTTTTATGTAAAAATCTTTCTGCTCACAATCTTTAACTTTTTTACTTTGAAGCTGCATTTGAACTTTTCTTTAATTTTTATTCAAAAAAAAATAAAACATCAAGAATTCTCAAGAGCCTGGAATAAACAAAAAACTAGACAAAAAAAAAAAGCACCAGTTTCCTGATTTTCCCAACATCCTACACTTCCATAAAAAAAAACTCTCACTTACATTGTCCAGCAATAGCATCAAAAAACGCCGAATTCCTCAAATGCATCGGACTGTCCTTGTCCAAATGCAAAGTGAACCTGTGACTTCTAGGCGTACACTCGCTAGTAGCGTTCGAGCTTTTCCCAAACATATACGAACTACTCGAAGACATCCTGTGAATCAAACTGTCTCCTGCTCCGCCTTCGTTTTGATCCACTTCCAAGCTCAGCCTATTAATATTCTCAATCGTAATAGATAACCACGGCAGATAAATCAAAGCTATCCGGCCCATTTGTCCTTTATTCTCATACCGATCGTCCAGCTCGTGTTTGGCTATCAAATTCCTCAGGCTGTTCAAGGCGATTTTGCGAATATAAGTAACTTCATTCAAAGACGTTTTCACTTCTTCTAAAAGTAAAGCCACGATAAAGTGGTGCTTGCAAAAGTTGTCAGTCAACGATAATTCGTCCAAAGGATCGGGGGATTTGTTTCTGGGACTGAGTTTCGATTGTTGAATGGGTAAGTTAAACGAAACATAATGTTCGTGATTACAAACAATTTCTAGGAATGCAAACTTGAATTCTTGTAAAATTCTCGGATCGCCTGGGCTAAACTTGTCCATGTACCATTTGATTAGTTTGAACACAAATCCTCGATCTGTTAGTGACAGGCAACGCTAAAACGGACACAATTGGATTTTGCAGGCAGACTATACAAATACACAGACAATGAATGATTGGATTTTAAAGAATTTTTGGTTTTTACCTTGAAAAAGTTGGCTAAATTTTTGTTTAATTCTTTAGTTTCCAAAGGCATTTCCTTGTATTTACTTAGAACATAAGAAATTAATACTTGGCTCAAGTTTTCTAATTGACTCAGATAATCAGCAGAAAACCGTTCGTGACGTTGCATCTAGAAATAATATTTATATAGATAGAATTTTTAATAAACTGTTCTTACCTTTATTCTGTTGGTACTCAACAGATGCTGCGTCATACTCTTGGTCATAACTTCAAAGAAAAAATCTGAATGGTGCATGAATTTGTTGATAACAAGAAAGTCTGGGTTATTTGGATCTAAAATCAATGGCAAATGTTTACTGATCTCTTCGTGAACGGTCGTAGTTTTCTTGGAATCAGGAGACATAAAGCAATACTTCACATAAGCATTCAAAATATCTTTCCTACTCGAATCGCAGAGCATATTCACCAAATTAATCATAACTCTTATAATGTTAATTCCGATTTCTTCACTAGCCGTTGCCACTAGTAATACGAATAGTTGATTGAATAAAGTTGGTAAAAATGTGATTAAAGTTGTCAGATGGATGGCGTGCAAGGCTTTAAGAATTTTGCACGTTTCTGATTCGGAAGGCACCGAAGTCGGTTTCGGATCCAAGAGTCTTTCGGCTTGCAAAAATAGGTTGAATAAATGTTGGTCCTTGGTGTTTACTGTCGAGAATAGATTGAATCCGACAGTGAAGAGGGATTTTTGACCGTCTACCCAATTTATTTCTGGTCCGGCGTTCTAGAACAAACAAAAAATTACTAAATAAAAATTATTATCTCACAAATGGAATAAATAAGGCACAAAATTGATAAATCACCCCAAATTGCTTAACAGGATTTTATCTCAGGAACTATAAGTGCAAATGAGCTGAAATTTTCAGGGATTATAGTCCTTTGAAAGACATAAAATTCATTGAAAGTTTCAGCTTTCTATCTATAATAGAAAAAAAGCTATGACCTTTCAAAGTTTTCCAAAATCTAAATCATAAGGTAGGTACCTTCTTACTAAAACGATGAAATTTACAATTTTTTTTTTGTCGAGATTTTGTATCCTAATGGTCAATCGACATACCCCAAACTCCATACACTAAATTATTCTCGGATTTGAAGCCGAAATCTATGAAAAAAGGCACTCAGAAAAATTGAAAAATTGATAAATCACCCCAAATTGCTTAACACGATTTTATCTCAGGAACTATAAGTGCAAATGAGCTGAAATTTTCAGGGATTATAGTCCTTTGAAAGACATAAAATTCAGTGAAATTTTCAGGGATTATAGTCCTTTGAAAGACATAAAATTCAGTGAAAATTTCAGCTTTCTATCTATAATAGAAAAAAAGTTATGACCTTTCAAAGTTTTCCAAAAATCTAAATCTTACTGAAACGATGAAATTTCAATTTTTTTTTTGTCGAGATTTCATATCCTAATGGTCAATCAACATCCCCCAAACTCCATACACTAAATTATTCTCAGATTTGAAGCCGAAATCTAAGAAAAAAGGCACTCAGAAAAATTGAAAAATTGATAAATCACCCTAAATTGCTTAACACGATTTTATCTCAGGAACTATAAGTGCAAATGAGCTGAAATTTTCAATAGTAATATAACTAGTGCAATGGAAATTATTGATAATTTTTGGGAAATTTGCCCGAATGCATTTTTAGTTGAAAAAGAGCACGAGTGCACGTAGTGCACGAGTGCCTTTTTCAGTTAAAAACGCATGAGTGCAAATTTGTCGAAAATTATAAATATATTTCCATTGCACGACTTGTATTTACAGATGTATGAAATTCTCATAGATTGTAGTCCCCTGATTGGGATAAAATTTAGTGAGAGTTTCAGCTTTCTATCTATAATAGAAAAAAAGTTATGACCTTTCAAAGTTTTCCAAAAATCTAAATCATAAGGTAGGTACCTTCTTACTAAAACGATGAAATTTCAAATTTTTTTTTGTCGAGATTTCGTATCCTAATGGTCAATCAACATACCCCAAACTTCATACACTAAATTATTCTCGGATTTGAAGCCGAAATCTATGAAAAAAGGCACTCAGAAAAATTGAAAAATTGATAAATCACCCCAAATTGCTTAACACGATTTTATTTCAGGAACTATAAGTGCAACTGAGTTGAAATTTTCAGGGATTGTAGTCCTTTGAGAAAGATAAAATTCAGTGAAAGTTTCAGCTTTCTATCTATAATAGAAAAAAAGTTATGACCTTTCAAAGTTTTCCAAAATCTAAATCATAAGGCTAAAACGATGAAATTTCAAATTTTTTTGTTGTTGAGATTTTGTATCCTTTGTGTTATTTGGGATCCCCCAAACTCCATACACCAAATTATTCTCGGATTTGAAGCCGAAATCTATGAAAAAAAGCACTCAGAAAAATTGAAAAATTGATGAATCACCCCAAATTGCTTAACACGATTTTATCTCAGGAACTATAAATCCAAATGAGCTGAAATTTTTAGGGATTGTAATCCTCTACTGGAATAAGAATCGCTGAAAATTTCAGCTTTATATCTTTTATAGAAAAAAAGTTAAGACCTTTCAAAGTTTTCCAAAATCTAAATCATAAGGTAACTAAATAGCTACCTTAGTACTAAAACGATGAAATTTCAAATTTCGTTGAGATTTTGTGTCCTATGGGTTATTTGGGATCCCCTAAACCCTATATACTAAATTATTCTCAGATTTGATGCTGAAATCTATGAAAAAAGGCACATCTCACAAATGTAATAAATAACTGCAATCTTAGTAAATTGGAAATAGGAACGACTCAAAACCAGAGCTTAAAACTCTCTTCAAAATGTTTGCCGTTGTTGAAGTTGATAAATTAAAAATACATTTTGCCCACAAAACAAAATTAAATATAACAATGTTATAGACTTCAAACTCTTGACCCAAATAGCAAAAACATCAAAACAATTTTTCCCAAAATGGTTCAATGTTGCCACATTGGAAATCTTACCCCTTTTCCAAGTCCAAAAGGATGCACGGCCAGATATCCGGGAGGCAAACTGGCCGCCACCGGTATGTTTTGCGCTTCCACGTTCAATTTGCCTTTGTGCAATAATGGCAACCATGCATATCCGACACAAGATTCGATTCCGTTGTCTCGTTTCTTTGTAATATCGCACGATATGTGGTAGAAAGTGAACAACAAGTGATGCGAGTAAAGGATAGTGGTGGGAAGTCGGATTTTTATTTCTTCATACCAGCTGGGTATGGTGATGTGGTGTAAAACTGCGCAAGTGAGGCTCGAGACTAGAAGAGGTTGGCCTGGTCGACCATATATACACTAAAATATTATTAAATTATTGTAATTCTTTTTAAAATAATATATCACTTACAGGTATTCCCTTGGCTTCCTCATTGTCACTATCCCTGACTTCTACAACACAAGCAATATTCCTAGCTCTAGTAAATATTTTTTGGGTATCAAAATTTAAACTTAACGGATACACGTAAAGATGGTTTACAAATGTTGTATAAGGATGAACGTCTTTTTCAGATTGGCCCTCGAATTCGGTAATTTCAAAAGTGGGTTCGTTGGTTGGCGGTAACGGAAAGGGTTTTAGCAGGGCCATTGAGGTAGTTAGGCAATCTAAATAATAAACAGATTATTTTCAATTCAAAAAACGGAATGGGTCTTACTTGGTGGTAAATCACTAAAAGCGGAAATCTTAATTTCTAAAGTACCCGGGATCACAGTGAATTTATTAAATTTATCAGGTTTCCTATAGTCCGACAGGATTTTTAGTACTTCCTCGTCAGACATTTTACTACTTTCCTGTCTGTAAATGGCATGGAAATCGGAAACTGTATCTAGTTCATTACTATAAAGCCTAAAACAATTTCAAATAATAGTTATGGAGCAACAATTTTTAGAATCTTACCTGTATAAGGGCCTGGCAGTCCAAGCAAAAGGCATCCTGTATTTTCCCAGTCTTTGGCAACAGGTGGCAATATTCTTGTAACACTTCATCCCAATTTTGGGATCCTTATTAGCTTTGACATAAGCATCGGAACTTTGACTAATGCCACCTTGTAGTACTTTTTCTATTCTAACAAACAAAAATATATCGGGGTGAGGATTTGTAATATTAAACAGCCCTTGTCTAGGGTACAACAGCCATTCTGATGAGACTTTGTCCAATATTTCTAAGCTAGACTGCGTATTATTGTTTGCGGTAAAAGTTGTGCGAATACTATCACTATTTACATCGAAATGGAAACTTTCAGTCAATTTTCTTCCTGTTTTAACGTCAAAGAGGCACAACGACGTGTAGTACGGTTCCACCTGGCATAAATTCTCTTTATCGTCGACCACTTGCAATTTTAACCTAATATTTTCGCACTTTAAAAATACCCTGTTCCCGAACACTTCCCTGAACGGTTCGATTTGATCCTGACTAGAAGTTTGTGACTTTAAATGCATGGCCAGCGGAGGGAATAAGAGAAAGAGTTTTTGGCGAGATTCTTTTCGAGAGAGCGATATACTTATTTCGGTTTCGCGGGCGTATTTCATTAGTTGAGGATTCATGCTTTGCTCTAGACCTTTTAGGGTGCCGAACGTTGTTTGAGGGGATGGAGGCGGAGTGCTACGTTCTGAAAAATAAAGTATCTATGAGTTGAAATAAGTAAGGAACATTGGTGGAATTGGCAAAACTGTTTTTGATTCTCTTGCATTAGACTGAGTAACACCATGCATGCCTATAAAACTTTTCACCTATAGAGTGTTACTCTGGACTTTTTAATCAGATTACTCTCAATTACCTCTTTCCAAGGAGGCGGCCCGTTTTTCTTCTTGAACCTTATACTGTTGCAGCACTGAACCAAGCTTACTCAACCAGTCCTTGGCATCCAACTCGTTTTCTGCCGCTAAAATATAAGATTTGTGACCGGCTGTCATTCTTAGCTCAAAACAGAATCTGCCCCTCTTAGCATTCTGAAATAAATGTGTTACTAGTGTGGGCTACAATTTTCAATAATCAAACCTTAACTACGTCCGTACAAAAATCCATTACAATTGTCATCTTGGCTTCGCCCTTTTTCTCATCTTTGTACATTTCTAATATGTAAGTTCCATCAACCTCTTGTCGTAAATAACAATATCTTCTTTTAAAGCTTTTCGATGCCATGTTTACAAATCCTCTTTCAGATCCTGTGAGAAAAATCAATAAACTTTCACTTTGAGGAAAATATTCAGCTACTAACCAATTTCAGGTCCTTTCATCAACCACCCTTCCTTAGTAATATTATCGGTGCGGGATTTAATATCACCTGAATCCTCATCGATGTCGATTTCATAAAGTTCCTCTACAAGATTACCAGTATTCGGTAAGTTGGGTAAGTCATGGTAATTGCCCGCGTATTGACTGTACTTAAAGTGAACCACTTGCCAATTGGTCGAGTAATTTTTCAGACATTGTTTAGTGAACAAGTTACAATTGTGGATTTCAGTTTCTGGTGGTAGGGTAGGCGATAGTGTACGACAGCGCCTCGGTAGAACGACTTGCTGAAAACATAGGGAGCAATATCGATAATTATGATCAGAAGAAATCGATTTTTCAAGGACAGAAGTTTGAGGGTACTAAAGAAAAAAAAGCTAGAAACTTCCAGTTTTCACCAACACCAGAAAGTTGACTTAAGATTTCCTATATTGTATTAAACTTCTTTTAAATTATTTCAATATTTGAATACAATTTTGCAATTTTCATAAAAACAATTACAAATCCTTATCAAAAGGAGGAAATGATTGTTTATTTAGTTGTGGCTTTTTGTTAAATAAATATTTATCTAGATAAGCCCATACCCATCCTCCCACATTTATTTCAATTGTATTTGATTTATCATCTTCCCTATAAAAATAATTTCAAATATTCGCATTTTATTACAACAGAATCATTAGTATTTTAACAAAAATAATTTTGTTAAATTCTCTACATAGATTACTTACAGAAATATCATCGGGTGGATACAGCAACAGCTCCCTCTGTGGATCATTTTGAAGAACGGTTTTATGTTTAATTAAAAACTGCTCAAAATCCAAAGGGTCTACTAAGTTGGGTTTGCTCTGAAAACGAATAACTACTAATTAATTATTGGATTATAAATAGGTTTAAATGTTTTACAAAATAATCAGATTATTCGAACAATTTTTGGGCCCATATTAATATTTACAACAACTTAAGTACAAACAAACTATTAGTAATTCCATATCAAAAATGCACTTGCATACCTCACCCAGATTCCATAATAGTTTAAACATTGTTTAGCAAAAATAAACACTACATGTATACTTGACCGTTGAAAATTAAGTGATTAACCAAACCTAATTAATGCAGATGTGCTAGTATGTGGGTGTTTAAATGTCAAGTGTAATATTGAAAGTATTTTATGCTTGCCTGAGTTTTCCCCATTGATTTTCTGATAATAAGTAGTGCACAGTACAAACAGAGATCTAAGGCCCGACTTATCAGATTAAAATAAATAAATGTGACTTATACTTGAACAAATTTATCAAGGATTGCACGTTTAATTGCTCAATTTAATGTCTAATTGAAATGCATAACATGTCGAGCTTCGAAAAAAGAAACAATAACAAATTGTATGGCCACAAGAATTTTAAGGTTTTTTTACAGTCAGTATTAAAAAGGTGTTAATAAAAGTAAGACAATAGCTTTTTGTATAATATAACATTAACTATTTAGATGTTTTTTTAAAGGTAGAATATTAATTTTAACTGTGCAATGGAGTACAGAGTTGAAGTAAGGGATTTCACCGAATAAAAAGGCCAAACCAGTAAAATCTTACAAAAAGCCTCAGGGTTAGTTTTAGTGTTGATTGTTCAAACCATGTAAGTGATCTGAAATCTTTCATTTACTTTGTCTTCTGTTGAATTATATGGGGGGCTAATTATCCTAATATTCTTCAATAGCTTTTTTTTACATGACTGATAGAAACAAAGGATGTTGTAGTTTTATATAAGGACTTATGTTAATGCTGATAAGAGTTGACAGGAAGTTGAACCCATACACAGGCAAGGCAATTGGTTGAGTTTATTTCCATTTTGATCCATCAGAGACGTTTCCAAAGGGTGTGAATGAAGTATCGAGAAGTTAAGAACTCAAAAGATTTTTCAGAAATCAAAAAGTTATATTGGTAACAGTCACAAAAGTCTGAGCTGACAAGGATGGTTGTGCTTTGTGCTGCCATGTATGAAGTTAGTGCATGTGTTGGAGATTTGGTTTTCTGTGTGTTTGACTTTGTATTCTGGAGTTGATCTTTTGTAAATTGTTTAGCTGAAACGTTTCAGCATCATTCAAATCACTTACATAGTCGATGTTTACGGTTCTACGAGTTATAGGACAGGCCAAAATTTCAAAATTAGTATGTGAACAGCGATTTATTATAATGTGTATTTGATGAAATTTTGGAAGTTTAGTGTTTAAAAAATCGTTTGAACCAGCCACAAGGACCACGCAATCATTATCTCCAAAACCCCTTTGAATCAATGTGTCCAGGCCAAGCATGATGTTGTCATAGTTTGCCCCAGGTTTTGTAATAGACTCTACTTTAATGTTTGTAAAATCTAAGTTTTTTTGTATTTTGGTTTGAATTTGTTCTGTGTTTATCTGAAATGATAAGGAGTTTTCCAATATTTTAGTTTGATTCAATTCTGTTGGGCACAATATGACAATTACTACTGGTGTGTTGATTTTGCTGCTTAAAACCTGCAATTTCCTTCCTCAGTTATTTTATTAAAGCATTCCGTCTTGCCAAATTTCTCATTCTATCAATCAGTTTTTGGTTTTGTAGGAGTACATATTTCGTTAATTTCATCTTTTTCCCCTTGAAATTAATCTTGATATTTTTTGTTAGCTTTCTTCAATGTCCTGTGAATTGTTTCCTGTTTGTTTCTGACAGGTTCAGTCCCAGATCCTCGACTATCTTTTTCGTAAAACTTTCTTCCACTTCCTCTGCTTCTTCATTAAATCTTTGAGAACCTCTTTCTAATCTCTTGATATGATTATCTTTGTGTTTCAGATCATTTTGGAGATCAGTTATTTCTATATTTAGCTTTTGCATAATAGTCCGGGAGGCAGTGAAATTTTTTAGCACTTATTTTCCTAGTTAATGTATATCAAATAGTTTATTCTCTTGGTGATACAAAACAAGAATTTTTGAGTCTGGCTGAAATTTTCGGATGGGTTCACAAGATCAATGAGAAATACAAGTGCATTTATTTTCCCAGATATGAATATTTCACATTTACTACAATAGAACATAAAGTATATGAAAATAGCAATTTGGCTTATATCAAATAGTGGAGAGTGAGTATGGCTGAAATTTTCCGGATCTTCAATTTTTCACTTGCCAGACGTATTATCCATACTCACAGATTAGCCGGACTATTTTTTTACGTAACTTCAGTATACTTCTCATTAGTAGACCTATTTCTATCACTGGAAAAAAAGGGCCTTGCATTCGTGAGCTCTAACCCATTTTGCGCCTCAACCCATCGGAAAACCCCCCCTAAAAATATATGAATTTTGCTTAGAATAACTAACCCTACCCTCTATCCATGTTGTCGATCAGTGATGTTGTCTGACTGGGAAAATAAGTGCCGAAAATCGTCACTGTCTCCTAGACTATATTATGTAGTTATTCTTGCAGGAATTGATGACAGCAATATTGGATTCGGGTGATATTACATTGTTGATTTTTCTGACCTTTCTTACAGAATACAGAATGTTAACGATAAGTTGTCAAAAGTCTCCAAAAACTTTAAGAAAGTTTTTTCAGGAATAATTAAATGTCACTTTTAAGAGATCCATAAATCACCACAACAACGAATAGTTAATTTTTTATATGAAATGCTAAGCTGAAATTAGACATACCAGTTGCCTTCAGTTCATCAGCTTTTCTCCAGTGTTCAGAAATGCATAGACATTTGCAGTTAGGGTGTTCTTCAAGCAAAGCTGTTATCATATCTACACAGTTGCCTAATGATTGCACATTTTGATGTATAAGGTATAGCCTCGGGTATAGCGAAAGTATTATAGTTTTTTTTACTATAATTTGGATCAGATTTGGTGTGGTTCATTTTGGTGGAAAGTTTTATTTATGCAAAATTTTTTTATTGGTTAGTAGCAGTAAAATTAACATATTCACGTTGTTTTTTGATTTTTTGAAGAAATGCTGGACATTTAGGATCTCAGGCATTATGTATTCTGTCTTCAAGATTTAAATGTTTGCAGTTTGGACAATCTAGGGGTGTGCCAGTAGAGCAAAAATTTGGTTCCTGTTTTCCACCACATTTAAAACAACACAGGATCGGTCTTGCAATATTTCAAAACGTGCCCAAAATTGCAACACCTTAAGCACATTGCTAAATTTATGTGTTCTTGATTGTATACTTTAGTGAGGTCAAAATTTAAACTATCATTTCTTATTAGCCATTTAAACACATCAGGCGTTGTTTGCAAAGTCTTGTTTCTACATTGTTTTCTCCTGATATACTTTATTTTTCTGTTCACATTCTCTCCAAATATATTTTTCATTTGAGGATTGTCTTGTATGAACTGCACTGGCCTAAGACGAGTGTTGTAGTCCACATTCTGATAAGAAAATCTTAGTTTATATAACAAGTATTTAACAAATTTATTCTGAACACTTTTGATCCTCTGGATGTGACAATTATAGTTAGGTGTCCAAATTATACTACAATATTCCAATGTAGACCTTATCAGAATGTAGTAAAGTGTGGTTATTGCTTTGACATCATACATATCTCCGGTGTTTCACTTGATGAAGCCGAGCTGTCTAAAACTCTTAAGCACAATATTATCAGTATGTTTACTGAAAGACAGATCTTTCTGGAATATGACACCCAAGTCTTTAATCGTATCCACCGTCTCCAATATTTCATTTTCAAGAAAGTATGAGTGCAGGACTGGATTTGTTGTTTTGTAGAAACTTATCTTTGCACTTCTTGGGATTAAGTTTTAAAAAGTTACTTTTACACCCAGTAAGCAAGTCTATCCAGGTCAGGTTGGAGGGGGTTGGAAACTGAATCTACATTAGCAAAAAGCTTAAGATCATCGGCGTACAATAGACAGCGTGAACATCTGAGTCACCCAACGACATCATTAATAAAAAGCACGAACAAAATTGGGCCGATGTGTGACCCCTTAGGCACACCAGATGGCACTGAAAACTCATGTGAGAGTACACCACACATGTTTACCCGTTGTTGACGCACAGTTAAGTAGGAGCGTGTCCAGGACAAGAAATGTTCACTAAAACCGATACATGATAGCTTTCTCAGTAGAATCTTATGACAGACGCTGTCGAAAGCTTTAGATACATCGTCAGTATGGATTCCATTATTTTGGGAATATGGGATAAAAGAGATATCCCTCTATAGTTTTTAATGTTGGTATTTACTCCGAATTTATATATAGGGATAAGATTTGATAATTTCCATGTTGTAGGAAAGATTCCTGTATCGAAGGAAAGTTGGAACAGTTGTTTAAGAGGGTTTAGCAAAGATCGGGAGCACTCTTTTAAAAATATAGATGATAGTCCGTCCGGTCCCGGACTCTTGGAAATGTCCAAATTAAGGATTTTCTCCTTTATTTCTCCAGCAGTAAACGCATGATCTGACAAGTTTGCTCCAAACTCGACGGAGTGATTTCCGTTTAGTTGCACATCAGTATGATGAGAAAAACAGCTTTTGAAGTGTTTAGTGAATAGTTCGGCGATTTATCTTGGATCAGAAGATTTGATATAATCCAGTTGCATCTGGGATGGTAGACCTGCATCCCTTCTAAGTGACTTGATGTAAGACCAGAAATGCTTAACGTTTGATGGTATTAAGTGTTGAGTCTTGGTTACATGAAGCAGGTAACACATGTCTGTATGATATCTAACTTTGCTTCTTGCAACTGAGTAGGCTCTATAATCTGATCCTGACCGCGACCTCCTATACTTCTTGTACAGTTTATTCTTATGACCGATAAGTTTCCTTAGTTCACAGTTGAACCACTTTGGATACTTATTAGTTTTAAT